ACACTCACAAACCCAAACAATGTTCGTACTGTTCGTTCTCGTCCAAGCAAATGCTCTCCATTGTTTGTGTTCTATGTGTTTTCAGTTAATAGTTATCAAATGACAAATTAGGCTGACTCAAAATGAACATGACAAAACAATTCAACATATGCTCTATATATGATGGAGCTAACTTGTTATTCAAATGAGGACTGAATTGTGACGGTAAGATACATTCAGCGATTGAGATTCTATTATTACTGCTGAATATCTATGAAGGGCACAGATGAGAGTATCGTGATCTACTGTTGATCATTGAGTGCAATGAATTGCTTTCATGGTCAAAACCGGAGCTGAATATGTATGATGACCATAACTGAATGATTAAGGGTTTGTTAAAATTATAGTGAAATATCGACCACAGCCATGTGAAGTACCGCAAGGCAATATAATCAGACCGAGTGTGAATTGTTTGGATGATTTTGGTAAGCGCGACTAATCAGATCGAATGCGCATCTCACAAACGCATCGAATGGCACCTTCCCATTCATCTCACTTTATATTATGAATAATCTCGACTCACATGCACTCTAATAACCTCTAATAATATACTTACTACTTCATTATTCATTACTAATCATTAATTTCCTTCACAATCCATCAATATTTACGAAAAACCGAACACTCAATTAACCAACACACAAACACACACAAACACGTACATACGTACACTGAATATATCCACTTGAGAAAATTTATTCGACCTGATCAGTATTGATTTGATTGTGTGTGATTTGCACTCATGATTGTAATATATGATGCTATCGTGAACTGATGGCTCGGAGTGGATTCGTTATGAATTGATGCGATAGGAAATCTGTTCGAAAAATTCAAATTCTGCTTTTTCTTTTTCGTTTGAAATATTTTGGCCGAGAAAATTGCTTCAAATTAATCATGAAATGATGATTACTAACAGCTTATAACTGCTGTCGTTTAGTTGCGAGATGAAAAGTTTTAGTTGCGAATGAAAATTCAATCAAATTCAGTAATTTCAGAATTGGTTTATTGGGGCGATATTTTGACGATGAGATGGGATTTATGTGAGATATAAATTGTTGATCACCTCAGAGTGATGATTGATGCACTGATCTGAATGAGTGCAACTCATCGAACCTTTCATTTTCATTTCAGCAACCCTACGGGTGCAAATCGATCAACCAAAGAATCTTCACGTACAACCCGGCGGAACAGCGCAATGGTACTGCAGAATTGTTGGACCTAGAGTGAGTGATCTTATGCTGAACTCATCAAAACACCCAAAAAATTCAAATAGCTTTGAAATTGCACACAGTTCTCAAAGATTTGTACGGATACCAATCAGCTTCTTAGACACATCAAGATTGTTGTTTGCAATTCCAATCCGTGATGAACGCAATCGGTACGAAATTTGGATGCAGTCTGTTAAGACAGATACTTTGTTATGCGATGAACGCTTGGCCATAGAAACTAGCAGTTCAAGTCGGTCACTAAGATCATTTTGACTTACTGATTCAACGGAAACACCATTGTTTATGAAACTGTCTAGTGATACCAATGCCGGAGTGCGCGAGATCGCATCAAAACTGGCGATCTAATGTATAACATTGTATCATCAAAGAAATCCCTCGAGTCTCTTTCAGTTTTAGAATCAGTGTCAGCAGTTGCAGTAATGTGTGCAGTTGTTGAAACAGTAGAATGCTTCAGTTGATTCCATTGCTTAATATTCACTGAATTGTCGACTGGTTTTAGGTTTTATATTAGACGAACTCAATGCAGTGAAATTCAAGCAATGGGTTGATTTCTTTGTTTGGAACCAATGTTGATTCAATGTAATCAACAAACATATTTCAAGATGGGACTTTGACATTTTGTTTTTGAATTAAGGGACCAAATCTACGTCTTGAATGGACCAAAGTGGGCACAAACGCTCTGCCCTCATCAGCCATCCAAACCAACGGACAACTGATCATCAATAACGCGCACGAGGAAGATGCTGGACAGTATCGTTGCACGGCACAAGGTCCACATCAGTTTGCCACCGACGATGCAACACTTGTGGTTGCACAACGACAACGTATGTTACTTGCCTCAGAAGTTTCTTCGTCTTCGTAGGGCCGACCTAATATTTCAGATCATCACATCAGGTGTTGGGGTCGTGTTTTTGTGTGCGTCATACATGCCAATGTGTCTTTCTCCGTTCATTTCAGCAGCAACTCTTTGACAGAGCCACTTAAACAGCTTCTTCAGATGGATGAGAGGAACTTTAGTTCGCGGCCTTCAGGACAGATTCTCGTTTTTTGCTTGCTTCAACATGTGCTCAAAAGAGCTCGTTTCGAGCTTGCAAGTGCAAGCTCAAGCTCTTCATTGCGCTTTGTACTATCAACTCCAGCTAATACCGTCCAAATGAGCAANTAGAAACGTCTCTTGTTTTGAACTGTTTCTGAGCAGTTTATGTGATCATTTACTAAAGTATTCGTCGGCGCTTATCATAATTCATTCTGACGAAGGTATTACGAACAGTGCATTTTTAAAGTCGTTGATAAGTCTCACAGTTGAGCAAGCGACGTCAGACGATGGTCTCTATATTATTTGCTAAAACCGATGATTCCCTCGGTGAATTTCTCTTGCACATTGACCACTTATCTTGAAGGTGTATTCAGAACATTGTCATATTGCTGATTGTCTTCTCAGCACTCAAGAATTCTCATATTGAATCCGATGTCTCGGTAACTGAAGTTGTTCATTGCGTTGCTTCTATCATTCTCTCTCAAATAACATTCATTTCTGCCAATATGTTTTGCTCATCATCCAAAATCGCACTGTTTCAATAGCAAGCGATTCGTTCAGCACATTTCTGCCTGTAAGTTAGATTTTGATTTGATTGCAGAACACGCATAGACATTCTCGAGCACATTTTGATTCAATATCTTCCTTCATATGTTATGTTTGATTATGTTAAAGATGAACTCACTTAATTCATAGTCAGATTTTTTCTAATTTAGTTTAATTTCCTGCTAAAATTTTTTTATTTTATGCATTTTAAGAGAATCCCACTCTTTCACATTTTATTTATCTATCCCTTTAGATTTGTTGATTACGTTTATTTATTTATTTTTCTGTTTATTTATTATTTATCTGTTCACATTTCATCGATGCGCACACACACCAAAAAACAAATTCAATCAGTAATAACATTTTATTTATTAACACGTTTTGTTTGAAATTTCATGCTTTAATTGTTTTGAAGATTATGTTCAGAGCACAAATTACGAATCAAATTATCACTAATCACTTTCACGTAATTGTTTACTCTATCTCTCAGTTCAAATTTTGTTTCTTGGCACAAAATGATTTTTTGTTTTGTTCAATTTCAAAGTCACAAATATCAATTGTGCACCACAAACTCTCATGATTTTGCACAATTCGTTCGCATTTTCAGTTAAATACTCACAGAACGAGAGATAGAGACACAAATGGAGGTTATGTATTTTGGTGATAACAATGATAACGGGTTTGCAGCAAACGAGCCTGTCATAAGTCCTGAGGCACAGACAGTTGACGAAGGTGCTCAGGCAACTTTCCTATGCACCATAGCTGATGCGGCAGTGGACTCTGAGCTGAAATGGCGACGTGAGGATGGTGCCGATTTGGGATATGACGTTGAGCAGGATGAGGGTGTGTTGAGATTTACCAATGTGCAGCCATCGGATGCTGGCGCTTATATTTGCTATACGGAAGATGAAGACGGGGAAACAATTGAATCGTCACCGGCATACTTGAATATCAGGCCAACTGCACGTATGTTGTCTCATTCAGTCAGAGATAACATTCACGATTCGTTTTTTAACGAGCCTTTTTGCTCGATCGTGTCATCGTTTTGACGGCAGTTGACGTTGTGGTGTCATTAGCATGCATTCGAACAACCACTTGATACCATAGATTACTGATTTATGAGTGATTTTATGCACTAGCGATCTCATCGAATGACATTCGATGACGGGGATTTCTAAATTTGACGGGGATTTCTAAATTTGAGATGCGCCGCTCGCCCTTGAAATGAATTCAGTTTTACGCG